GGTCCAGGGCCTCTGTAGCCTATGTTGTCAGGCAGGCTGCATATCACATCAAAAACATAGATCTATGCATTCATGATATGAAAGAGATAAATGTAAGTTAGACAAATTGAGTTTAAATTCAGATTCTTTATTTTTTGTTTTATGTTTGTGTACTACGGAGCCGCGGAGGGGCATTGAGAAAAAAATAAAACACANAGCAACAGTAAAATAAAATAACAAAAATATTTCAGCTTAACACTTTGGGCCGGATCTACTAAGATCCCAATTTGCGTGTACTAATTTGCCTGTGCAATCTAGAATTTTGCGTGTGGGGCTGAACCGCGGTTTGCGGGTGATTTACTAAGAGTGATTGCTAAGAGGTGCAAACGTGTTGGAGACACCCTATTTAAATGAGGCTTTTGCGTGTTTTATGGTTTGCAGCATGGCGAGTTTGGAGAGAAAGTGCAAAGTGAAATTCGACCCTATAGAATTAGAGGTGTTGGTAGATGAGACCAATAAACACTTAAATGAGCTACAGCAAAGAAACCTGACTGTCTCACAAAGGAACGCTATATGGGAAGAAATCTGTGACCAACAGCCAGGGACCGGAGAGGGAGGAGAGGTTCGCACGGCGGGCAAGTTCCACCTGCGTAAAAGGAAACACAAATAATACACTCAACTGTCACGTTTAAGTTTTCTTATATTGGCTATGAATATTCATTTTGTGTAAAATAGGCTATACGATAAAGAACTGTTAAGTTTTGGTTTTTTGCCACAATAAATGTTGGAGCTATAGCCTAATATATTTTGTCACTAAAACAATGTGTCTTTAATATGATGTTGCATGGCTTAACATAATTAGACATTAATGAGACTGAGTATTTCGTTTGATAATGTTTGGAATCTAGAATGTGATTTCACTCATCTTTTTTTCAATAAATGTTGATTTGCTTAACTTTGCAATGCTCTGCAGTTTATTGGGGAGTTTTTCCTTATCCGCTGCGAGGGTCCAAAGGACAGAGGGATGTCGTATGCTGTACAGCTCTGTGAGGCAAATTGTGATTTGTGATATTGGGCTTTATAAATAAAATTGATTGATTGATTGATTGATTGATTGACTAGCACTCGTATTCTAATCTACAGCATTATGTTTAACACTAGAACCGCCATGATGGTCTCTTTGGGTCTTTATAATGCAAATAACTCTGTTTAGATAAAACCTACAAGCTTCTCTTCCTATGACTTTTCCTAAAAATGTGTCTTGTATGTTTTCTGAAGCCTATAAGTTACAAAAATGAAACACACTAGACTTCTGAGCATTTATACCTCCGACTGCGGCATCGGAAATTATACATTTTGATACATACAGGTAGGCTATATACATATTGCAAAACTCTGTAAAAGTACACCAAAGCATACATTTTCGTTTCCAAATATTTATTTGAAAACGAAACCATTCATACGGTCAATAAAAAAACATTTTGTTAATAATAAAAAACCATTTTGTTAATAATAAAAAATGAATGTAATCTCAACAGTGGCCGCGCCAGGCAGCGGGACTGCGGCTGAACCACTTCCAGTGTTCATTCATTCATTCATTCGTTCTCCTCTGGCATGGCATTCTGCTCCAGCCCGTGTTGCTTGCTTCACACAAGGGTGAAAAATGTGTTCTCTGCACAATGTTAGTAAATCAATTTGTACATTTTTTTGCGCGTGCAATGAGTTTGCACACGTTTTTATACACGCAAACCTTTAGTAGATCCGGCCCTTAGTGTTTCTTGTTAACCCTTCAATAATTAAGTTTCAGTAACTCGCTTCATACATAAAAATAAAATTTAAAAAATGAGACAGATTGTTTAAAACTTATTTTCTTGTTAACTCTTGTCTTATGTTAAACCCTTTTCCTTCTCATTATTTCCCCAAGATCATAGGAACCTTACTTTAACAGTTAACTCAATTTGTGTTTCTCAAAAATGGCAAAGTGCCCCTTTAAACCAAAACAAAAACACAAAAGCTTATTGCCCTTTTTACACTAACTTCACCTGGTTGAGTAATGGCATATGATGAGGTCTTAAACCTTGAATAGTATTGTAGCTTAACTCAAAGTTACACTTAAATCAAAAGCACCGGCACGGGCAACGGTGCCGGAAGCTGGGGGGCCAGGGGGCCATTGGCCCCCCCACTTTTACCCTCCTGCCACATTATTTTTAAGCCAGATCAAAGGTCCCTATATTACATTACTTACGGTAAAAAAGACTTTCACTCTTCACTTCCACTCATACAGTAGGTAAAATACAGAGAGGGGCCGTAGAGAGAAAGATACAGCCTCCAGCAGGCACTCAATTGTGTGCAGCTGTTACTGCCTCACCAGCCCGGTAAAGCCTCAAGCATCCTCAGCAGGCTCCGGGTAGACTCTCAGCCGTCTGGCTCTATCCAACAGCACCTAGCCCCACTAACCCTGGCACCGTATTGTAAGAACTCCCCAGTTATAAAAAATAGAAATAAATCAAAAAGCGAGCCAAATTGTAGGCCTATCTGGTTTGCAATCAAACATTTCTAGCGCTGGTGTGTTTTATTTTTTTCTCAATGCCCCTCCGCGGCTCCGTAGTACACAAACATAAAACAAAAAATAAAGAATCTGAATTTAAACTCAATTTGTCTAACTTACATTTATCTCTTTCATATCATGAATGCATAGATCTATGTTTTTGATGTGATATGCAGCCTGCCTGACAACATAGGCTACAGAGGCCCTGGACCTGCTGCGCTCAGTGGAGCGGAGTATTAACCCACAATTCTTGTTATTTGAATGACAGAAATAGGATCTTTATGAATGGCGCAACACGGAAGCATGATTATGTAATAAAACAGGTGTTTACTTTAGGATCCAGGTGGTGAAGGGCTGTGCGCACACAATGTTCCAACAGGGGACAGCCCTCCATTCTGAAACACCGCTGTTCCAAACCAGCCCCACTCCGAAATTGATTTTCAATCAAGTTTGGGAATTGTATTGCGGACTACCTTCATATACAAAGGATTCGATGGATTTCATTAACATAATTAAATCTATACAAAGAGTGGAAGATTCACATATATTGGTCACCATGGACATTGAATCCCTTTACACCAATGTGCCATTTGATGGGGGTCTCCTGGCTACTAAGTTGTTTCTGGACAACAGATGTGAATGCACTCTCACAACGCAATGTATACTGGACCTTATTCAGGAAATACTTACCGCTAACTATTTTCTTTATGGTAATGATTTTTTCCTCCAGGTCTCAGGAGTTGCAATGGGGTCCAAGATGTCTCCTAGCTTCGCCTCCTTGTATGTGGGCTTCTTTGAACAAGAACTGATCCTCAATCCACAGCAGAATCCCTACCTCAAATACATCTCACATTGGAAGAGGTATTTGGACAATGTATTTTTTATATGGACAGGCCCAGAGACGATGCTACAGGAGTTTCATAATGTCATTAATTCTAAAAATGAACATCTTCAATTCACACTGTCTTCTGACAACAACAAGATGAACTTTTTAGACATTTTGATTCTCAAGGAAAATAACAGTCTCAAAACGGACCTCTATCGAAAACCCACTGACACAAACTCTTTATTACACAGGGATTCTTATCACCCTACTTTCCTTAAAAAGAACATTCCACTGTCTCAATTCAGTCGCATCAGACGGATCTGCAGTTCCGATGAGGATTTTCAAACACACACAAAAGAACTTGAAAAACAATTCAGACAAAGAGGCTACAAGAACTGGATCCACAACGCTTCTTCTCTTTTCTCTAATATGTCACAAACTGAATGTCTTCACACCACCAGACCTAAAAGAACAGACAATGTGACTATATGTGCAATTCAATATTAACCAGTATCCAGAGACATTGAAAAAATCATCAGAAAACACTGATATATTGTGGAAACGGACCCTGTTTTGAAGAATTGTTTTTCCAATCCCCCTCGTGTGGTTCACAAAAGAACCACACGAAGACTACGTTTTCACTCATAAAACCAACCCTTTTATAAAGATGTTAGTTCAACACATTTTTTTCTATATATATTTTTTTCTAATGTTTTCTACTCTGTGTACAGCTGTAGTGCATTGCACTGATTGATTGCAGGGATTGTGGGTATTTAAAATGGCGTTTCCACATGTACTCTGTTAACAAGTCTGAGGAGGAGCCTGCATGCTAGAAACGTCACGAATGACAAAATAAAATTATAAAGTAATGGGAGCTCTATTTGGTGTGCGAAACTATTAATTAATCAGAAAAATAGTTGGTTGTTAATGTTTTTTTGATCAATACATTAATTGACTAATTGTTGCTGCTCTTTAAGTGTGTGAGAGAGCATGTAAGTGAGTGAGAGTGAATGAATGAGTTGATGCAACAGGTAAATAAAATAAAATATAAAAGTGAAATGATTCTTAAGTAAATCAAAAGTGTTTTAAAACTCATGAAATCTATTAAAAAAATGTAAATGTAGTCGTGTACCAATTGTTGTGCATTTTTTTGTGATGGTAATGATACAGTGATGTTGAGTTGCATGTGTACACTTGGACTGTTGGCTGTTTTAGGTGGTAGAAAATGATGAGGCTACAGCTACTTTGCACAGATTCAAAACCATTAAAAAACAAGATTTACAATTTGTCAATTTGGTGCACTGTCAGTTTGGGTAGCTTACTGTGCTGAGCATCAACTCTTTTTACTTGATGTCCCACGTTCATGTTTGCTAATAAATAGCAAAAATACTTGAGATCCTGAAAGCCTGTTCTTGATCAGGCACTCTACTCTCTGAATAACACACAGGAAGCTAAGAGGCTTCCTGTCTGACCAGCTAGCCATTTTTTCCCCAGAGAAACACTCAACAATAAATATGATTGTTTTTTATCAGTGGTTTGGTTTGTAACAATACCCTGCAGCTTTGCTCACTGCCCCAAATAACCCATTGCCTCTAAATGGACTGTTTAGTGCAGTATTAACTGTGTGCTTGTACCCTGTCCTCTGTCAAGGACTTCCTAGGCCAGATGTTCTGTACATTGGGAGAGATCATCGGCTCGACTGGCAGCAGGCTGGAAAGGACTCTCTCGTAAGTACAGCATTCACACAGTGTGACCAGATATCAGAGAAGGATCCACGGTTCTTTGAGAAGATCTATCGATCTTGATCGATCTTAACAAATAAAATTAAAACACATTGTTAAATTTCATTCATAAAAAATAGCAACAGCAGGTAATATTGTGTGATTGTAGGTTAATTTATTCATCACAACAATTTATTAACATTCCTAAAGTTTGGTATTAAATTCAAGCATTCAAAGGTTTGAACTCGACTTGAATCTAGTTACCTGAATGACCATAAGTGGGCAATAATCAAAGCACAATGGGGCTACTAAGGTAGAGTCACATCACACTGCCTCCCTTCCACTTAAGTCTCAGCCTGTGTAACAGACAAATTCAAGGGCTCATTGTTTTTAATAATGACATGCAAATTTGCACAGTCAGCCAACAGAAACAGCGATGTGTGTCTGGAGATGGAAAGTCAGTTTTCTTGTGATGTGCCTCCACTCTGTGCAATACAATATGGCTCTCAGTGGTTCTCATACACTGTTTACATTTGGTATCTCTCTGTTTAATACTTATTCATTGACCACATTGGAACAGTGAGTTGGAACGCTTTTTTCGAGGCTGAGTGTGGGTTAGATTTGTTAAATGGATCATAAATATAGTTGCATCTTGAAGTGCAGTCATGTAAAATTATTTAACCTTTGCAGGCCCCTATCACAGTCACTTTGATGTATTATAATACACCATTATTGACATGTGTCAAGGCATAAATTGATCATCATCACTGATCACCTTTGCTCACCAGAGAGGCACATCCAACGAGTCCAGTGTGTGCTGTTGGTGTCAAATGAGACAATGCTGCTCAGTGGAGGAGTTGTGTTGTATTGTGCACTTTAATGAGCGATTAATATCAACAGGACTGTGAGTCTACAGTATTGGTTACCAAAGTGGGCATCGTAATTTAGAGGAACTGATGAACATAACTTACGCACTTTCTATTGTAAATGTTTCTATTTCATTATGCCTCCATGACGCCGACAGCTGTGGCTGGAGGCATTATGTTTTCAGGTTGTCCGAAATTTTTTTTCAAGTTAGGCTCAAACATTCACTTGGACTCAATGATGAACTGATTACATTTTGGTGGTCAAAGGTCAAGGTCACTGTAACCTTGTATCGTGCTCTTTCTCATGAACATGATACCTCAAGAAGAAAAAAATTCATCAGATTTGGCACAAACGTTCACAAGGACTCAATGATAAACTCTCTCCTCTCATATCCCCGCTTTCTCATCCTCTTGGAAAATAGCTGAAAAGTGAGAAGAGTTTCTGAGTTTTTGTAACTCACTCTTCATTCTTTGTTGTCTCCTTCTTTTCCCATGTGCTACCATGATTTATTTTATTATGTTGCGTTGCTCGTGGAAAAAAGGAAACCTACACTGTACATTAAATACCACCTGACAACTGTACTGCTTATTTCTCCTGTGCTCCTGTGGAGTTACTTCTCTAAATGCTGGAATCTCTTCACTATGTTTTAATTTCTTTAGTTAGTGTTGTTAGGTCAGCTTAGCTATCTGTCAGTCATGGTTAGAATAAAATGTTGATTAGAGAGTCATTAGTTTTTATGGACATTGCTGGACGTCATATGGTACGTCTTGTACCTTTAGCTTGACTTCATCACCTCCTCTTACAATTAGGAGAACAGACTGACCTGGACTACAGACTGACTGGAATAATGTACAGGTAGCTACCAGCTGCTTCAGATATAGTTAAAGTGTCCTTAAGCAAAGCTTTTACCCTTCAACTGGAGCTCCTCATTGGTCAATACTGGACAGCTGTGGTTATACTGTGAAGCTCCTGAGTGGAAATGTAGCCTACATACTGGAGTACATACAGGATGAAGTCACACTTACTGCATATTTTCAGTCACTGACTGCAGTATTTAAAATAATGACAGAAAAATCTTAAATTAAGGCTTATTTTGACAGATTGGAAAACTGAGTGTGATCTACCTTGACTTTGAGGATGCATTCACACTGGCGCTATTTAACGAACCGTGGTCTGCTCCCACGGATAGTTCAGTTATTTTGGAGTGGTGTGAACGCTCATCTGAACTGTGGTGCAGACCAAACGAGCAAACCCTGATCCGTTTGAAATCTGGGGTTCACTTACAGTGGGAAATGCAAATGGACTATCCAGCAAACTAAAGAGAAGAAGTGAACCAAAGATAGGCAGTGGTGTAGAGCACAGCGCATTTTGGGTAGAAAAAACAAAGCTAACAGCGCAAACCGGGAGAAGCAGAGGAAAAAAACAATTAGGTTGGAACACGAAAGTAAAAACAGAAACCCCAGGACTGCAAAAATTTGGTGTTGCTCCATTGTTTTTGTGGTGACCAAGCCAGCTGAAAGGGATGGATTTCTGATTTTGGTCCTGGCCAATCGATGAGCCGGGTTTTCTTCTTCCTGTGCTTTTTTTCTTCCTTGTCAGTGGTCGTTTCGGACAATACCGCCCTCAAACAAGCAGCTGTTGTAACTGTGTAATGTTGTACAGGTGGTTTGGTCCGCTTTAAAAAGTGCAGTGTGAAAGTGAACCGAACTAAATGAAGGTGTGAAATTTTTCTGCATTCCCTGCCCAATTGAACTGAGTCCCCTGGACTATCCTGGTGTGAATGCACTGTAAGTAATTCACACTCCTGTCTAGTTGGTGGTATATGCATATTAATAGCCCTATTAGGACTATTACATTATTGACTAATGGTATGATAAATGGACATGACCTTAAACATTTTGCTGACCTTGATATTGTCTGTTGTGTTTACATGTGTGTATTTACATAAGAATGTCACCAAAATTTGGAGCTGAGGGCTAGGTAAGGCTGGGGTGGGGCTGTTTTCTGTTGGATGGTGGATGCAGTAAGCTTAGTTAGCTTGCCAAATTATCAGCTTTTCCATGACAACAAATGTGATGTTCCTACAATAGTACAGTAGCTTGTGGTGTATGTACAAGCAGTGTGGGGAGGAGGGGCCAAGTTTAAATGTTGTGTTTACAGTAACTGACAATTCCTGCACAGTTTACCTTTAAAAAATGACAGGTACAGTGCCCTCCAAAAGTATTGGAACAGTGAGGCCAATTCCTTTATTTTTGTTGTAGACTGAAAATATTTGGGTTTGACATCAAAAGATGAATATGAGACAAGAGATCAACATTTCAGCTTTCATTTCCAGGTATTTACATCTGGATCTGATACACAACTTAGAAGATAGCACCTTTTGTTTGAACCCACCCATTTTTCATGAGAGCAAAAGTATTGGAACATGTGACTGACAGGTGTGTTTTGTTGCCCAGGTGTCTCCCAATTACATTGATTATTCAAACAATAAATAGCACTGAATGTCTGAGCTCAGTTTCAGATTGGGTACGATAGGTTTTGCCTGTGCAGACTGCATTTAGAGGTGGAACCAACATGAAAACCAGAGAGCTGTCTATGGGTGAAAAAGAAGCAATTGTGAATCTGAGAGAAGATGGACAATCAATCAGAGCCATTGCACAAACATTGGCCATAGCCAGTACAACCATTTGGAATGTCCTGAAGAAGAAAGAAACCACTGGTTTACTAAGCAACAGACGTCGAACACGTAGACCAAGGAAAACATCAGCAGTTGATGACAGAAACATTGTGAGAGCTGTAAAGAAAGACCCTAAAACAACTGTTAGTGACATCAGCAACAACCTCCAGAGGGCAGGAGTGAAGGTATCACAATCTACTGTTCGCAGAAGACTTCATGAACAAAAGTACAGAGGCTACACCAGAAGATGCAAACCACTCATTAGCAAGAAGAATAGGAAGGCCAGGCTGGAATTTGACAAAAGGTACAGAGATGGGCCTCAGAAATTCTGGGAAAAAGTTTTATGGACTGATGAGACAAAGATTAACTTTTTCCAAAGTGATGGAAAGGTGAAAGTTGGGAGAAAAAAAGGATCTGCTCATGATCCCAAACATACAAGCTCATCTGTGAAACACGGTGGAGGTAATGTCATGGCTTGGGCTTGCATGGCTTCTTCTGGGACGGGCTCTTTCATCTTCATTGATGATGTAACACATGATGGCAGCAGCAAAATGAACTCAGAAGTCTACAGAAACATTTTGTCTGCTAATTTAAAGAAAGATGCAACCAAACTGATTGGGAGATCCTTCATCATGCAGCAAGATAACGACCCAAAACACACTGCCAAAACAACAAAGGAGTTCATCAGGGGCAAGAAGTGGAAGGTTTTAGACTGGCCAAGTCAGTCTCCAGACTTAAACCCAATAGAGCATGCATTTTACCTGCTGAAGAGGAGACTGAAGGGAGTAACCCCCCAAAACAAACAACAACTGAAAGAGGCTGCGGTGAAAGCCTGGAAAAGCATCACAAAAGAAGAATGCAAAAGTTTGGTGATGTCAATGGGTCACAGGCTTGATGCAGTTATTGAAAGCAAAGGATTTGCAACTAAATATTAAGTCTCATTCACTTTAATCTATTTTAAGTTTATATGTTCCAATACTTTTGCTCACCTAAAAATTTGTGTTCAATTACAAATAATGCTATCATCTAAGTTGTGTATCAGATCCAGATGTAAATACCTGGAAATAAAAGCTGAAATGTTGATCTCTTGTCTCATATTCATCTTTTGATGTCAAACCCAAATGTTTTCAGTCGACAACAAAAGTAAACGAATTGGACTCACTGTTCCAATACTTTTGGAGGGCACTGTAGTAATACATTATGAATTATGATTTATGAACTTTTACCACACAGTTTGTCCAGATGACACCAAGAGAGTCTAATCCAACCTTTGGTATAGACTATTCTGGAGATATCAAAGGTTCAAAATGACACTTTGCCACTCAAGGGGTGTTGCTACAATACCTACTACTGTATGAATACAAAAAATGTGATCAAATTCTGTTAACATTCTAAAAAACAGGTGTCTGCTTTTGACTGATCCATCACCATCACCCTGGCTGCTGACAGCAGGCCTGACAAC